TTCCACGACATTCTAATTTATTGAGATGCACCTGTACATTTAATAAGGTTAAAAGAATATTGGCATTTATAAAGGTAAATAACATCCTGGGGTAAATATTAAAAATGTCCAGATTTATGTAAAACTGATAGAACACTGATAAAAATATTGCTTCTGAATAAATTGTATATACCAACAAAAATCTCAGTGATGGGGTGCTTTTGTGGGGATATTTTGTATAAAATATTGCCTGCTGACATGAAAAGTACACTGTATATCATAATAATAAATAGCATTTTTGACAGCAATGATATTTTGTTTTCTTTTTACATTAAACACATTAAATATTATGTATACATTTGTAATATAATGTGTATTTCCATCACAGGTTTAGTCTTAAATTTCACATAAGGTGTTATTAAAGAGGTTTTAAAAAGTCTTAAATTTAACTTGTTCATGTCTGTAGATACCCTGAAACTATTATATTTATGATTAAAATATAGATATCGATAAAAAGTGTAATTAAATAAAAATATAATGATAATTTATAAAAATCCAGAATGTGACATCCATTTACTTACGTTTATATTTTTACTGTATGAGGCAATTGACTATCATATCATTTGGCAAGCAGGGTTTGCCTGCCAGCAGGACTTTGCCCGACGCTTTAGCCATTAGAGGATTTATGTCACCATTGGTGGATACAGTGAGACTGGCACACAAACACCAGACATTATTTGCAAAGATTTAGGACCAGAGCTCAAGCAGCTAAGCTGCAGTTTGCAAGACATTGGGTGGTTTCCAAGATCACTAGTTTTTAGATTTCTAAAGCAATGTATTTTTTGTCAGAATTTCTAGAATGCCGGTGACGTGATAAAAGGAAATAGAATTTCACTTATTTAATCTTTTTCCAATAGCGTGATCTGCATAGTTTCTAAACTCATTCAGACCTACAGTTCACGTCCTGTTTCTCTCAAAGCACTTCCTTTGCACTTGTAGATGAGTCAGAGTGCAGTTTCAGTGGCCTTTACTATTGCAGTGTTTGGCTGTATGTATGTTTGTGTAAGTGTGTGGTGGCTGATTTAGTGTGAAAAAGCATGAAAGCATGCCTGCTTTGGCCGGAACTGTTCCTAGCACGGCTATTTTATGTCAGAGCACTCACAAACACATGGGCGCAATGCACCGCCTTCAAGTGTTAACAATGGTTTGTGAATTTACTGTGATTTCCAGATTGGTCTTGGAGAATAGAAGGAATAAATAGACATTTCCTCTTGGCCTTCTGGTTGCACACAAACATGCTCATAAGCACGCCTCCACAGCCACGCGAATGACGTTCACACCTCTACACACATGCTCGCAGATGCACGCATCCGCTCTACTACATTCTACACTTGTTTTTGTTGTGAACTTTGAGTCTGTCACATCGACGATTGAGCTGTGCACATGCACATTTCTTGTTTTTTACACAAATACACCCAGGCATTGTACACCATTTTGATTTCCTAGGGAAGCATATTTTTTCTCTCCTCACATTGACAGAAATATGAATATGTGATTTTCCCCCAAAACCCGCTCCACAGCTGATTCTAAGATCATTGGTCAATCACTTTGCTGATCACCTACACAACACTAAAAAACGGATAATGACCATTAATCTTAGTATAGCACACATCTTGATAGACAGCAATACTGTCTGTCATGATCTGATCCATTCATGAGTTTTTTTTGACAGGTGACTCCATGATTGAGTAAAAATCTTTATTGGTTTGGGTTTGCATTTAATTAGGGTTGCATCATGACCTAAGTATTGCATATTTCCATTTTTTATTGTCTACACATTTAATAATGTTGTGATGTGTATTGTCTTAAAATATAATAAAATACAATTATACAACACTTTGACGTCACTTTGAGCTCCACTTACATACATGTTCTAGATTGTGTGTAACCTGGCGACATTAACTAACAGTGACCGGGGCAGTTGTGGCCTAATGGTTAGAGAGTCGCATTTGTAACCCAAAGGTCATGGGTTCGAGTCTCAGTACCGGTAGGGACTGTAGGTGGGGGGGAGTGAATGAACAGCGCTTTCTTCCAACTTCAATACCACGACTGAGGCGAGGCTCTTGAGCAAGCAACCCCCAACTGCTCCCCAGGCACCACAGCAAAAATGGCTGCCCACTGCTCTGGGTGTGTATTCACTACTCAGTGCTCACTGCTGTGTGTGTGTGTGCGTGCGCGCACTTGGATGAGTCGAATGCAGAGAACCATACTTGGCTACACGTCATGCCACTTTAAAATCAAAAGCTTTGACTAACTGGACTAAATAAACCAACTAATCACAGAATTCTTGCTTGTGTGATTTTGCTTATTTTGCTTTTGCTTATGTTTGTTTGTTCATTTAACATCAATAACAAATTCAGAAGTCTGAAGTTTTTTATACATTTTTTTTACATTTTTGATTTATCGACAGATCTTTACAACAAAACATTTATTTCTAATAATCTAAAATCAGCATAAGTTTCACCAAATCACTTTACACTTAAAATATCATGAAGCATAGATTAAAAAAAAAACATCTTATGCTTATTTAATACTGGTTGCATTTCAACTGCACACATTCCTAAAGAAGAAAAATATTAATTTAAGTATATTTAACACAGCCAGAATTCCTCTCATTCTCTTGTGTGAATTTCAGCTGAGAATAGTAAAACAGCTTTACTGCATTTACTAAATTGAAGTCAGCACAGCTGCCTGTCAGCACACAAACTCCCTCATTGGACTCTTCAATCCATTACCCCCCTCCCCCCCACACCCTTTCAATCCATTTATCCGGGCTTTGCAACTCGCCACGCCTCGCCTCGTTTTTTCTCAATAGTTGTCAGAGCCTCGGGTCACTCACTAGTCGTCGTGAGGCATCTTCCACTCGCTTTCTTTCTCGCTCGGTCTCCACCTTCTCAGGCTCCAGCATCCTTTTTGCAAAGTCTGAGCAAACCGTGGACGGCGAAGCAGTTCGTATATTCGAGGTTGTTTGAGCTCTGCATTATCCGCCTGTGGCAGGAAAACAAACGCAAGTCTTTTCTCCTCAAGTTTCGACTCAAACTCCGACCATGTCCGGCGAAGACGCACCTGCTCAGCAGCAAAACGCCGAGGAGCAGAAGCAGCAGCAGCAGGAGGAGACCAAGACGCCCGCCGAGTCCCCAAAAACCGAGAGCAAACCCGACCCACCTCCCACCAGCGCGTCCACCGAGGCCGCCGCTGACACCCCAGCGCTCGCCGCGGAGAAAGCCCCAGAGGAAGACACGTTCAGCTACCGGGCTCTGGTGCTCACCGGCTACGGCGGGTATGATAAGGTGAAGCTCCAAGTGAAGAAGGGGAAACCGGCTCTTAAGAGCGGCGAGGTGATGGTGCGCGTGAAAATGTGCGGGCTGAACTTCGCAGATCTGATGGCGAGACAGGGACTGTACGACCGGCTCCCGTCCCCGCCAGTAACCCCGGGCATGGAGTGCTCCGGGATCATCGAGGCTGTCGCTGAAGACGTGACTGACAGAAAAGTGAGTAAACCCATCGCCTAGTTTCTTTATACAGCCATTTATTCGTTCTCCGGCGTTCATTTTATTGCCCATCCTGCACATTTAACGCGTGTATTACTAAACGAGTTATGAAAACGTTTACACGGTGTTTGTAATTATGTACTCTTTAACGCTGTGCAAAAATAATGTCGGTCATTCAAAGAGAACTCCTTCTCAAACTCCTGTCACATTCACTCGCCACCAGAGACAAAAGAGGAGCGGGAGGGGCGCCGATAGCCTCATTTCAGCATCACCGGAGCTCTTGTCGCGCTGACCCGAGCAATGGGCCGGAACGCTAACCGTTCACGGGAGAGCGAGCTTTGCTTGTGTACGCGGCGAGTTGAAAGTAACTAACCGTATGGGTGATACTGTATGTACACAGTTATGCAAACACGCTCCTCACTGTAGCCAGCTGCGTTTCTTCTCATGGAAGCGTTTAGTTTGATCGCGTCAGTGTGTGGAGGGAACCGCCGCCCCTCTTTCTCTCGGAGACCGACGGCGTTTAATTGTGAAGTCGCACCTGAGACACGTGCGCGGTCAATTCCAGACGCTTCTAAAAAGTAGCGAAATCACGTTTTCGACGGGTGTAATTCACTTTTAGCGATTGGTGCGAGCCATACTGGTGTCAAGTGGGCTCGCGGAAGACTCTCCCCACGCGCAGGAAAAAAGGGCGAGGCGCGAGAGGGGGGGGGATGCTAATCGCACGCGCCCTTTGTCATCGGCCTCGCGCATTGTGACACTGACATGCACTCTGACATCATTCATCATTCTTGCCAGATTTCTTTTCTTCATTTTGGCCTCTTTAAACCAAGGTTTTCTTCCCTTTTATAAAAACGTCAACGCCTATTTTGTAGGCATAGCGCCAGTGCAATAACATTTCTTATTATATACATATTTGTTTTAGTTGGCCAGCGGATATCAATGTGATTTAAATAGTATAAATCTAATTCTCTTGTTAATTTTTCAGCTCCATAGAAAACAGTGGAGTCTTAGTATGACGTGGCCTAATTGACTTGCTATGTGCTCCATAAGAACAAATCGATGAGTCACGCCTGGTGGTCGCTGCGCTGGTCTCCATGGCAACGCATCATGGCAACGCCATGCACCGGCTCTGTGTGAGAGTTGGTTGAAAGGATTTGGTGTTTGTGTTACAGAGAATAAACATATTTAATGAGAACCAGAGGAGGTAAGATGTTCAAGAATTGTGTGAAATGCAGATTAAAGCCTGAGCGTGTTTAACACAGGAAAAAGAGAGAAAGTAAGAGGGAGCGAGCACTAGGCGTTGGCTGGTGGGTGATGCAGAGGATGAAGATAAACCTTGCTGTGCATTTTAAGTATTTTAACTAACTAAATTTAATATTTTTATAGTTAAATCTATTAAACCTATGTGGAAAAATAGTTCCAAAAAAGTATACCTATTATATCTGTGAACGTTATGGTAAAATTTCTGCTGAATATGGTAAGTTGGTAGTTTAAAAAAATTGCAATTTATATGAATGTACTAGTGGAAAATATAGAATTTGTATGTAATATTTAATAGGGACAGTGTATATCTTAAGTCTTGTACTGGTCACCATTTTTTCACCATTTCTGTCACCTTGTTGCCTTTTCTAGTTCATTTTAAATTCTGCAGGTCTGAAAAAAAAAATTAAAAAATTTGAAGAAAAGACAAAAAAATCACAGAATGAGGGGGAAAAGTATAAATATTCCATGTAATCTCTCAGTTAATATGAAGTCATTTAAGCTGCATGCTAAATAATTATAAAATAATTGTGCTATTTAAAAAAAAATGCTATTTAAATCTCTTTAGGTGGAGGACAGCATGTTCACATCACAGGACAAAATAATTGTCAGCACAGTAAAATAATAAAATACTTTTCCCTGTATGTTATATTGTTTTTTGCAAAATAGCAATTCATTACAACTCTGTGGTTACCAGTTAACATGCCAGTGAGAAACTTTTTTTCATAAATATTAAAATTTAATATTTTAATAGAATATTTTAATAATCAGTTAAGATATAGCAGAAATATTTATCAATATTAATACATGTATTAATATGAATAATTATTATTTCCTCCATAATGAGTTGCTATTTCGTATATGCTTACAATTTGAATTTTGCTTGGACTGCACCCCACCTGGAGCATGCGGGGGTTAACTTAAGTGTCTTGCTCAAAGGCACAGTGGTGATAAAACAGGATCGTGATCTCAATATCTCTGCCCCAAGTGGGATTTTGAGCCGCCATCCTTTGTGTTAGCAGCCCAGAGTCTCAACCGTAGGGCTACTGCCGTCACATACAAAATAAACACAGATAAAATAGACACAATTTTAGAGACCGCAAAGCTTTATGGAGCAGAATCCCACTCATTTCCACAGCAACATGATTAAAAGTTCGCCAACAGATGTATTGCATGAGCCAAATGCATTAGAGAGAGCCACTTTGCCCGTCAGTGTGTGTGTGTGTGTGTGTGTGTGTGTGTTTGGGTGTGTACGTGCATGCATACAGAACAGGAAGAGACTGGAGAGACATGGGAGAGGATCACAGGCAGTGACAGACATCTCACCCTTCAGTTGACCTTGATCTTTGCAATCTCAGCTGAAAGTGTGTTTGTTTAGTGCAAACACAGAATAAAAAGTATGATACGTTTGTGACGCAAGTGTGACTGTTTTGTAAGTCTGACAAGGAGAGCGAGAAAAGGAGGGGGAAGAGGGCTGATTTCCCCATATGGTGAGTCATGATCACAGTTCCTGGCCGAGACTTAAATGTCCATTTGATCTGTGATGTGCAGAACATCCAATTTAAGGAGAAAGAAGAGGAGGAATGGTAGAAAGCAAGACTGAGATTTGGAAGACAAGAAGAGCGCGAGACAGGGAAGACTGAAAACCGTGAGGAGAGATGAACTGGGGCACAGACATATCGGCTTGAGTAGTCCCGCTCTCTAATTGGACAGTATAGACCAAGATGCCCATGCGTCCCTTGGGCCTATTAGACCGTGTGTGTCTTCCTGTCTGTGAGGGAAGCGCTGGGTATATAAGTGTTTGCGTTTTGCTTTTGAGAAAAGCTTCAGTGTGTGTGTGTGTGTGTGGTTCCTGAAGCACCGTTGAGCATTTGTGCCAAGTTTGTGTACCCTTAAAAAGAGAAATAAAGGTGTGTGTGTGTGTGTGTGTGTGTGTGTGGTCTTTTAAGCTCATTGAGGCTGAAGGATCTGCCTGCCACCTGATGAGAGGATCTGATCTTTAGAAATGTAGAAAGACAGAAAGGGGGAAATGGGAGATGAAAAGGAGTGATCGACAGAGAAAGAGTGATGGAGGAAGAGAGATGCTTATGATGCTAGTGATTGAGAAAATACACAAGTGGTGGACGGGACTTAAGTGTTGAGTGTTTTTGTGCATGTTACAAAGGTCGGACCAGTCAGTGTCACTGTTTTTATGAATTTTGAAAACAGCTTAAAGGTGACGTATGCCATTTGTTGGCACCAGCAACACCAAACAGAATTGCAGTATTTATTTGAGCAGCTTGACTGGGTTGGATATAATAACATTGGCTCAACCAACGATTTGAAAACATGGGCCATAATGGTGCATATATTAGAATGCGTGTAATTTCTTTAGAGGCATAGTGGTGCTTTCTATTGCTCATACTGAATTTGAAGGGATAGTTCACCCAAAAATGAAATTGTCATTTACTCCACTTCATGTAGTTCCAAACCTGGCTTTTTTTTCTGTGTAACAGATATTTTAAAAAATGTTTTAACCATTTTTGCCCATACAGGGAAAGTCAATGGGGTCCAAAATAATACTGGAGTAAAAGTTGAACTAAAACAAATTGACAATAAAATGCCATGTAAATGCATTAGTTCAGTTAAAATCGTACTGGTTAGGTTTTTGTGAAGTCGGACTAACAGACCTAGACAATAAGATTGTGGCTTGGCTTCATCCAACATATGTACACCTTAAAATTGCCATGGAACTGGCGTCAGATCTTTTCTTCTATATTGTGATGTACATCCGAAAGAAACCGTTTATTGAAAAAAGAAAAGAGAACTTTGATTCTATCCGTCGGTTGTTGATTGGATGGAGGCAGGTCTGAATGCAAGCTTGCATTTGGTTGCAAGAAAGGGGCAGGGTTTAAAATATCTGCATGATTGGAGTCCAGCATACTCCACCAGAAAGGAATCTATCCTTTCACTGGAAGGTCAAGTTATAAAGCTTTGATTAAAGACTTGGGGAAGTGGTGACCTAATGGTTAGAGAGTCGGACTCCTAACCCAAAGGTTCAAGTCTCGGGTCCGGCAGGAATTGTAGGTGGGGGGAGTGAATGTACAGCGCTCTCTTCCACCTTCATAATGCCGCAGCATAAATGGCTGCCCACTGCTCTGGGTGTGTGTTCACTGCTGGGTGTGTGCACTTAAGATGGGATAAATGCAGAGCACTAATTCCCACTATGGGTAACCATACTTGGTCACGTCACTTAAAGTTTGACTATGGAACAAACCACTGTAGCTCAACTTCAACTGCACAAACACCTTAATGGTGGCTCAGATTTATTGTTTGCATTCCTTGTATCTCCTCATTCCAAAGGAAGTAGTGGAAGTCTGCTCTGAGTTTTCCTGTATCTGGGGGTCGCCAAGGTAATTCAGGATTTTCAGTTACAACTGATATTATCAAACAACTCTAAATGGAGCACATTTATCTGCTCCAAGATAAAGATTAGCAAAACAGTCCAGATGGCCAACAAGTACACGTTGAGGTATGCTAACTGTCTTGAAGGATAATGACCACAAAACATACACAAGAGATCCCCCAGATCTGTGCAGCTGGGCAATTGTCTTGCCAAAACCTTTTTTTTTTTTTTTTAAACTTACTCCAATTTTGCGCAAAACCGCAAATGAACAAATAACCATACAGATCCGAGGAGCATCATCATCACATCTCCTCAAATGCAGTCTTAATGCTTATTGACGTATATTCAAGATTATTGCAGCGCTGCTATGGTGGCTGTGGCCTATAACACTGAAAGGCATATTGTTGCTGAAACATTCCAGAGCTGTTTTCCAAACGTTCCTTGAACGTTTCTGTTTTTCTTGTCTGTAGGTGGGTGATAAGGTCCTGGTTTTGAACCGGAGTGGTATGTGGCAGGATGTAGTAGTGGTGGCGACCACACACACCTTCCTGATGCCAGAGGGCATGAGTTTTGAGGAGGCGGCAGCACTTCCTGTCAATTACATCACCGCCTACTTGATGCTCTTCGACTTTGGGCACCTGCGTCCCAACCAGAGCTTACTCATCCATATGGCTGCAGGTAAGTTTGTATGTATGTGTGTGCACTGTGGAGATTATGCAAATGTATTACTGGCTTCATAACAGGGATTACATGCAGCCTAATGCAGTTATATTTTCATGAGCTGCAGCACAATGGACACATCCATCATGTGCAAGTGTGTGTAAGTGTTTGTGTATACGGTTCTTGCAGCTTGCCCAAAGGGCTTTTTACAGCGGCGAGGGAGTATAGCAGTGGTTTACATTTACTTGCGCACTCCCATCGTCATTCGTGGGAGTGGATCAGCGAGTCCCTTGTGGCAATTAACTACACTCTGGGCAGGTGTATGGGGGGTTGGGAATCCGTGCTTTCTAAATGAACTTTGGGAGACACCGTAAGTGCAGGTGCAGGATTGAATAGTTTATTAGTTCTCAGAGGGTGTTCCTGTAGGTGTCAAACAAATGTCTTATCGATAAATTCATTCGAGCGAGTTCCTTGGCAGCTGTTTAGTTTATAAACATTTAGACAATGTTCTGCTCTCAGTGAAGACTTTTTGAAAACAGTGACCGATTTTGTGAGTTATTGGTTTAAACTGTGATTACACGATTATTCATTTAATTATGCTACATTTAAAGTGAAGGTTTTCTAGTCTAAATAGAATGTGTGTGTGTGTGTGTATTGATGATTCAGTCTGTGAGTGCGTTGCGGTGTTGGATTTAAGTAGGGTTGGGCGATGTCTACCAAATTGGCATCGGACGATGTCTACAGTGAAACATCTTGATGGACGATGACATCGGGGGGTGAGGCATGGTTAGGGGTGTGCCAGAAGCGTGAAACAAATAACGCGTTATACGGAGCCACTAAAAGGTTAGCCGCTTGCTAGCGGTAGCCTGTTGCATTACAGTACATGAAAGTTCACTTACCACATACACAGAGTAAGGAGAAATGTATGATAGGACGATGGCGAATGATTTGCAGATCCTGAGCACCAATGACAAACATCTAATCTTGTCAAATGTGTGGTAAGTACTGCCGCTCCATAGTATAGAGTCCTTGTGATCGCGAATCGTGAAAGTGAAAGTAAAATGAGAGCGCGCAATCGAAAGCGGTTTCAATAGCGGCTCCCTGATGCCCGCAATTTATATACAGTCGCCTATACTATACCCCTCAGCTTAACATCGTGATGTCTGTCAGCCAGCGACGATGGCATCATCTATCGGCCCAACCCGAAAACCAATTTTAAGTGTACATTTTTATTCATTAAGGGGTCTGTTAAATTTAATAATCAAAGTGAGGAAAAAACTATTTCAGGCTAATTAACATTTTTGTGGTATCAATATGAAAAAAGTGTTTTAAAAATTAAGTGAAATCACATCTGCCTATGAGAGAGAATGTGGGGGAAACTAGTGGAATAGCTGCAGTCAGACTGAGGGGAGTAGATGGATGCATCAAAATTGCTGATAAAATCTGCTAACTTTGAACAAACTACTCGGGTATGATACGGCCTCCACATACTCAAGAAATACCAGCATTTAAAATATGCATTTAACATCATAATGAAAAGTACTACATAGCCTTCTCTTGCCTGACAGCACTGGTTAGAAACCATACATCCAATTCAAGTGTTTTATAAATGAAAAATGGCAGACATTCATAATTTAAATATTTGATGCCTAATTATTTATACTTGGTATTATTTTTTTAATGCATACACTGTAAAAAATTATTGTTATTTTAACGGTAAAAGACTGTAAAAACACTACAGTTAAAAACCTGTTAATTGGTTAACAGTAAGTTTCCATACTACAGGTTAGGGCTGAACGATTTTGGAAAATCTAATTTTTATTTATTTATTTTATTATTAATATTTAACCAATATTGCGATTTTGCGATTTTAATATGCAAATTTTTTTTAAAGCTCTTCATGTTCTGTATTATTCAACAAAGATAAGCTATAAATCATTGTATAGTATGACCAACACACTATTAGATAGATTAAACCTAAATGTTATTTTCTGTAGGCCAGGCCTATGTTACGATGAAATTAGGTGATGCATGAATTGATATGAATGACATTTTTATTTAACAACTACAATCACTATATTGACTGATTTGTTGAACTTCCAACCTTGTAAGCATGTAATAATTGACAACATAAAGCACTGACGAATAAGCCTGGTGTAAACATTAGTATGAAAGTCAGTAACAAATCACACAAACTAAAGCAGATTGCAGAAATATAAAAACAAATCTGTTGTTTTACCCCACTACTTTAGGTAATTCACAGTCACTGTAATAAACATATGTAAACATGTGCACTGCACTTTTTAAACACTGTC